AGGTTGCCTGGCAGGCTGCCAGGCACAAGGCAGCTGCACCAGCCACCCGCTCCGGGCCGAGCAGGAGGCAGGAACTTGCTGAGCCAAGACCAGGCTGCTGCCCACTAACAGTTACCCCTGTTTGTCACTGCAATCAATTTGCTGATCATGCACTTTGCTTCCCCTTAGGGTCTTGTGGTGCCTGTCGTTAGGAATGTAGAAAACATGAACTTTGCTGACATAGAACGTGCTATCCATGAGTTGGGGGAGAAGGTAAGAAAAGCTGGGGTTGTTTTTGTAAAGGGCTTGGAGGAGCGGAGAGAATTGAGGCTGCTGGATATGCTTGAACCAGTTCAGTCCCTTGGTGGTGTCATCTCTGATCTCTAGCCCACTGAACAGTGGTGTGGGGTGTGATCCATTCCAGCTGGAGCTGTGTCCCTGCCTTACAGGACAAACCTACCCACTTGTAGCCCTTCCAGGAGATGTCCCATGCTGCTCTAGTGGTGCAGTGTGTCTTTGCCTTGTCTCTGGAGGCCAGGGCTGAGCAGTCCTGGGATAGAAGTCCCTGTGTCTGTCTCCTGCAAAAGCAAGAGTTAGAAGCTAAGACAAGAGAATCCTGCCCCAAAGACAAAGTAATTTTTCAGTTTTAAAGACAGGATGCATTTCAAACTAATCCATTCTTTCACATGAGCAGATTAGTAAGTGAAGCTGTTGCCATCAGCAGTTATTCCTGGAGAGGGTGAACATCCAAGCTGTTGTACTTTGCCTTCTGGGATTTGTCAGAGCAGCTTTCTAAGACCTTACTCTTCTAGGCACGGAAGAATGAACTGGCCATCGAAGACATGGATGGTGGAACTTTCACAATCAGCAACGGAGGGGTTTTTGGTTCCCTCTTTGGGACACCTATCATTAACCCACCCCAGTCGGCCATCTTAGGCATGCACGCAATCTTCGACAGGCCTGTGGCCGTGGGAGGCAAAGTAAGTGGGGGGAGTTTTGGAAAGGGGAAGGGCTCTCTGGGATGACGGCTGTAGTCTGCATGTTTTCATCTGTGGGCTGGTGCCACCTCCTGAAAGGCTGTCCTGTGGGGAGCTGGGGCAAGCAGATGAAGGGCAGCTTTGCTGGCAGTGAGGCTTACCTGAGGTGTGCAGGGAGCCTTGCCCCCTTACCAAG